TGTTTTAATTTGGGTTAATTTTCTATGGGTCAGCTTGTGAAGTGTTAGTCTTGCTATGGCATGTTCGGTAACATGGATCGATTAGTACTTATTAGTATTAAGTAAGAGTTTATCTGTACATGCAAATCCTTGTGTCCTTGTTGTTTCCCCATGTTATTGCTTTCTATTTACAATATTTTTTCTCTCCTTGAATTGTGATGTATTGATGATGTTAAGCTCGGTTGAAACATTTTGGGATATTGCATGTGTACATAAGATCTCAGTTCCTCTTTGGTGTGTGCACTCATTAAAATTGTAATGGCTCTTTGATTAAAACCAATTTTATTTCTATTTGGTCAATCCATGATAGATCGTTATGTGATTAGGAAATACAAATCTTAGTGTCTAACTGCCCAAAGCTGCTACCAAATCTGTTTTATAAGTTAGTCGTTTTAACGAGCTTACTTCATCAATTAATATCCATTTCCAAGAAGTGGGCGGTCAAGGGCCAAATGTGAAGCCTCACTACAGGTTGAGGGGTCATTTCTTAGGCTGGTAGTTAATCTACAATGGACAAGTGTGTATTATATCATTTGTTTAGTCTGCTATTTGATATTTATTCTTATTGGTACCCTTTAACCATGAGATTGAAGATAGAGTTAAGAGAAAATATATTTGCTTGCCCGTGTGGAAGGCATCGATATCTTCATTTTGAATGTCATCCATTACATCTCTTGTCATACAATATTTTATTTATCTCTTCAGGTTATAAAAAAAAGGGAGATGCTGGGTATTAGAGATCATTACACGTGAGGTAAACATTGGGTAAACATTGGATGAATAGTTAGGTAATCCTAACTGATGGACGTTTAAACTTTGGCAAAATGCTAACCTTTAAGTTGCTAGCTTGCTATTTTTTTTGTAAAGGCTATCATGTCTATGTTCTTGAAACTTTTATTCCATTATGTATTTCTATGGTCAAGTTTTTAGTATGGTTTTTCTAGAGAGGCCTACCCTTTGTGTTGAAGTCCCGAGATTCAGGAGAATCTGTATTTACTTCCTATGCTCATTCAATTGGTTCGATATTTTCAGGTGGTTATTCATGCCATAAGGTTTCCAAAATATAGTACTGTGGGGGGATGTCATTAATGATGTCAAGACAAATGTGAGTCCTGCTACCTCTTCTACTTCAAGATTGTATGTGTCATAATGGAGAAGTCTTCCTCAGAGAGATCCAGCCAGACCTAAACCATATAACAGGGCTAGTGGATTCTCACTTCCCCTGTTTAGCAGGAGATCATTTTCTGAAAAGAGTAATGCTCCATAACTCTCCAATTGTAAGGTCATTCTTGAAACATTTCACTTCCTGATCCTCTTTTTGAAATAACAATAATAGTAGAATATGTGTTAAGATGCATGTATTTGCATTACAGCTGATGATGTTATGTCTGTTTCAGTTCCAACATGGAACCACAATAAGGTGATGGATGACTTCAAGAATCAAGTGTTTACATAAATGGTATGTCCTAGTGACTTCAAGAAGAGGAAGTGTCTTCAATAGTTGGACGAATTATTCTTGTAATTTAGTTTCATTTTATGTTGTTTTGAATTTTAAAAATTATGTAATTATATATAGCCCATGTTTGGCACTCATTCTCATTCTTTTTCTCTTTCTTCATTTCAACCACACATTCTGTCAATAAAATAATACTACACATAAACCTAAAAATTCTCCTTACTTTTTAACTACACATTTTTTCATCAATCACTATTCAAAAACACATTTTTTAATTAAAATGGGTGTCAAACACTCCCACATATATATATATATATATATATATTCATTTTTTTTAAATTTTAAATGGCATTAGACATTCTCATTCTTTTTCTCTTTCTTCATTTCAACCACACATTCTATCAATAAAATAATATTACACATAAACCTAAAAATTCTCCTTACTTTTTAACCACACATTCTTCCATCAATCACTATTCAAAAACACATTTTTCTATTAAAATGGGTGTCAAACACTCCTATATATATATATATATATATATTCATTTTTTTTAAATTTTAAATGGCATTAGTGACGGAAATTGTGAAGGAAGTCTGTTCCTAATTAGAGACGGATTCAATCCGTTGGTATTTAGCGACCGACAAGTTGTCACAAAATTTTGTCTCCAAATCAATGTGTCGGTAATTACCGGCGAAAATGTTGTTGCTAAATTGTTGGTAATTAGCGACGGATTTTTTATTCGTAGGTAAATTACTGGCGGGCAATTCATCGACGGAATTACCGACAGAAATTTTCTGTCTCTGAAGCTTATTTGCAACGGAATCAAGGCTTCAGCGACAGAAATTTCAGTCTCTGATGCCGTGTTTTTTTGTAGTGAAAGAAACAATTTCAAAAACTAATCATGCACAATTTCATAAAAACACACATTGGAGTTCAATTACCCAACCTCGTTGGCACGTAAGGAAATCGTTTACTGTGATTGGCTCGTGTCCATGAGGTCTTCATCTCAATTTTCGATCCACATCTGTACATATGGGCGAGGCACGTAAGGAAATCGGTTACTGTGATTGGCTCGTGTCCATGAGGTCTTCATCTCAAATTTCGATCCACATCTGTACATATGGGCGGACCTAGAGAGTACTTGCCCCCCCAAACTTTTGAGATTTTTTTTTAATAAAATCGTATTTGATATCGATTGAAATCTAAATTTTAGCTCTTGTTTGACACTCATTTTATGGAAGAATTTGATTTAGAATAGTGATTGATGGAAGAATGTGTGATTAAAAAGTAAGGAGAATTTTTGGGTTTATGTGTAATATTATTTTATTAAAGGATGAACCGCATCTTTAGTGGCCCCCACCTGCCCTGCCCTGGGCTTTGGTGAAGGGGGTAAATCGCAGGTTATGCCTCCAAGAATACAGGTTAAATTTGATTTTAATCTTCACCAAACATGGGCAAAATCACAATAAATTTAAATTTCAATAACATGCTAATTTTAAAATTCACCGACGATCATACGCTGATCGAATCTACAAATTGTTTATGTCATGTCAAAACTTATTTAGAGAATTACATCATGGACATATCCAATAGTCCAAACAGATATTGAAAATAGTTAAAAATATGTTAAACGTGAGTCTTAAAAAAAGACGTCAAACTCGTATTTTTTAAAAAATTTTAATTATTTCATTAACATTTATTATTTTTGCGATACAAATTTCTCAATGTATTTTTCATCATTTTATTAGGAAATTTGTATGGAATATGACATCAAAAATTTTTGAAATTTTACATCCGAAAAAGTCATATCCCATGTAAATTTTCGGACGTAAAATTACATAGGGTATGATGTTTTGGACTAAATTTTCGATTATAAAATTTTTCTCAACTTCTTTAAAAGTTCGATTGTGCTCCCTAACTTTTAAAGTCTGTGTCTGCCCCCGTTTGCACAATCGATGAACCATCAGCACAACTTTAGAAAACCAAACATTGTATATTATTCCACATCTGCACAATATTACTATTTCGGGATTAATATGATTAGGCGGTAAAAGGCTTTAATTTAGCATTCTAATCAAAATGCCATTGTGCAAATTTGACTAGTGGACTACATGCGACAAGTTAATGAGAAAACTAATGAAATGAGACAGCAGGGTGAATTGCACAAAGTATGTTCGATATGAGGTTCCAAATGTCAAAATTGAAACGATATGGACGATTTGCACAATTAGGACAAACAATAGGCACATTCGTGCCAAATACCCTTGTATTTATAATGGCCAATCTCGAGAAAATTTAGCTCAAAATTTTTGACAAATTTTATTCAAGCTACTAGTCCCCCGTGGCCTAACAGTTAAGGACGTCATAAAATTACAAATATTATGACCCGCACATATAGCGGACATGCCCAAACCTTTTGATAGACAAGGAATAGTCCATCCTGATAAATACCAGCTCCAACCATTTGACAAAATTTGGTCAAATAACTTGTGATGGACTAACGTTGGAAATTGCTAAAGCAACTAGGCACTCCAACGGCTGTATCTAGTCTATGTCCATTCATATGCTAGTTACTCTTATAGAGCTCGATTTATTAACGTGATGAATGTCCTAACTAGGAATATAATGCGAGGTCAATATAACAAAGTTCAAAGTCCTGACTACAGTTGCAAGCTGAGATGAAAATTATGAAAAGAAAATAACAAGTTCAGCCACAATCGCTTGGAACCAAGCACACGCTGCTGCGTACTCGATTTTCTCATCTAAAATTGTAAATAGTTATGGAAAGTGCGCCATTCTTAAAAGAAAACAGTAATTCAACATATGTTGAAACTTTTCGATTCAATATAAACATATCAATCACTTCAAATACATTTTCTACAAGTTCAACGATTTTCTCAAGAGACCCAACGCTCTATTCAATTTCCAGTATCTTAGAGAGAACTCCATTGAGCATTAAGATAACCACAATTCAGCGAAGTTCATCAACCACCTTCCGGGCCAAACACGTAATCTGAGCGTCAGGCATCAAAAATTTATGAAGCTCAACCTATGAATTTTTTTTGAGTTTAATACATTGGTGGTCACTGAACTTTTAGCAAACTTTCGAGTTAGTCACTGAATTTAATTTGTTTCAATTTGACTATGAATAATGCCCTGTGACAATCTAGTTATTTACCAACTAGACTGCCACAACATTTCCTCCATCCAACTAGGAAAAATGAAAGAATCATCAAATTGTAACAAATATTTAAGCTCAACGACTAATTGGATGTGGTAACCAGAAATTTCGACTATTTCCAGTGACAATGGGTGTTGTTAACCCAATTTTTCCAAATCGCCCTGTGATAAATAAATATGGATAAAAATGAAGAGTGGATATCATTTAGAGGCTAGGTTTATGATTATAGCAACCAAGAATACTGCTGTGCACATAACTGCACAGAGAAAGAACTGCATTCACAAATAGACTGAGTTCACGTTGCACAAAATGCCGAAGAACAATCAGAGGGACCAAGTAGAACGGAACATCAGGGCTGGAAATTGGGTAGCCCCATCCATTACATACAAAAGAGCTGGCTCGAATTTAAATTTCTTGCCAAGTTTTAATTTCAAAAATGTTTCGACCTGAAAATGTTCCCAATCTTTTGGGCCTCGGACCAAACCTCCCAATGACAGACCCCATCCAAACTCATCTTCAGGGGTATCAGACATCGTAGCAGCCCATTGTAGATATCTGGGATTTGAGTTTTTCATCTCAACCCAACCCCCGATTCGTGTATTATCGTCAAGCTCTGTTTCGACCATCAGAGCAATAAATCCATCCGACAAGCGTCCTTTCCTAGTTGTTGCACTGTCTTCCTCCAAAGATATCTCCGAAGGTATATTTTGTTTGAATAGGCTAACAGGGATAGCCAGTGCTCCAAGATTGACCCTTTGGCTCAACAACCTAGACTCTTTGTGCAAACCCAAAAGAGAGAGCTTCGTACTTGTAGAAAGTTGGCAGACGACTTGCCCAAAAGTGCTCAAGGAACGTGTAAATCCGGCAGAGTTGTGATGCACTCCAAGGCCAGAAAAAAACTGACCCAATGAAGCAACCACATTTGACTTCCGCGCCATTATGCCAATGGCACTGCCATTATGCTGATTTAGAAGTGGTGGTCCAAATGCAGAATAGTCAGTAAGGGCCCTATCCTGAAAAAAGGAAAGCTATACTTTAGTAGATCCTTGAGCCATATTTATGGTGCCTTTGTCTGTGTTTTCGCAGTACTTGAGCCTTGAGCACTTGAGTAAACTTACGCATACTTTAACACACATAAATGCATTCACAATGCCAAATGATTAAACAAAGTCAGTCATGTGACAAGTGCTACGAGATAAACTTCACCTCGTGAGAATTTGTAGCAACTCCCACATCTCTGCATCGAGCGCCCACTGGAATTGCAACTGCAGAAAACCAATCGCTAACATTCACAGCATAAAGAATTTTTGATAGGGAAAGAGGACCTCCAAAAGTACCACCTAGCTCCTTTTCACTGGCCGCAAACTCTGCAACAAATGTGTCTTTCTCCCGAATTGTGGTTTCAAATGTGAATCTTGATTGAATACCTGTCCTAATACCAGACCTCTCAATTGCTTCAATTTTCTGCTCATCAACACTGTCCATCATCAACAATGCCGCTAACACGTCCACCTCGCCCCTTACATGAGTGCTAGCTTCTTGGAACGGACTTCCCTTCGCAGATTTATAGAAGGTCAGCATTCGCTCCACCTTATCTTGTCTGTCTCTAAGTTTCATGATATCTGAAAATGCTTCGCGCTGCAACCGCTTCAAAATCTCAATCTGAAAATCATATCATTGGAACAGTTGTAAAGCTCCATCATACAGCTTGTTGCTACCTAGGGAATCAGCAAATTTGTCAAATACTAAAGAATGTCGTGGAATGAAAAGTATAAGATGAAATTATAGCCTCGAATCTGATAGAACAGCATGTCTTGATTTGACTTCAGAAGCAACAACTTGAATGTTTCTTGAGGTAAAAACACTACTCAATGTGGAGCTATAATTAATTCGGAAATGGGGACAAAACATAGGACTCCAACATTCCGTTAATCATCAAGATGATACCATCAAATCTCACTGACACACTAAGGAGAAGGCATAGCTTTTCAGCTTAAAGAAGTACAGCGAGTAATTTTCAAAAATAAAATTTGGCATAAAAAGGGAATATCTTCGGATAATTTGTTCGAGCTCCATCAGTGTACAAGAATTCCAGCAGACCTCATTTTTCCAACTATTATTCTGAGTTCGTGCCTTCAAGCCATCAATAAGGTTCCAATTTTAGAATTCGTGTGCCAATCATTATTAATACTAAAAATAGTTTTATAAAACATCAATATTGATAGTAGAAGCAAATAATCGATTATTAATAGTCTAAAAAAGCCTCTTGCAGTATAAATGAAAAATCAATTACATTGAAAGCATACCCTAAATCGTTTCCAAACTTAAATGAACAGTAACTGGATGAAAATTCAATTCTCTAACTATTCGGCGAGTACATCATATAATTTCAATAAAATATTTAGTTACCGAGCGTAAATCACAAAAACAACAATGGTATTTTCGTTTATATATAAAAATGTGGAAGTTTTACCGGATTCCGGCGATTGGAATTACTGCGACAATGAAGGAGGCCGTGAGCGAATTCCTGAGTGGATTGAGCAAACCCTTTGATTTTATCCACCACCGAAGCTACTGGATCCATCATCAAACTTCAAACCCTCACCAAATATTCTGTACTATTATGTATACACTACTTGGTTACTGTTTGAGGGGACAAGAAATAGCATTGATACGAATTAGGGTTTAAATGTCGTATTGTTGAAACTAAGTCGTGTTATCAGAGGAGACTATATACATGGAGTTTAGTAATGCTATTTATGCTCGGAGTTTAGTCCCAATTTACTTGGTAATTAAATGACATTAAATGATAGATTCATGAATATTATTATTTATCCCCATTGAGTTGAGCCCCGATCTATGTGGCAATGTGACTTATTTAATTGAATCTATTACTTAATGTCATGTAATTGTCACGTAGAATGGATTTCAATCCCAGTGGTAATGAACATCAGTATTTTAGATTCATTTAAATATAAAGTCACATGACTCATTTAATTTGATCTACTATTTAATGTCATATAATTATCATATAAACTGGGGCTCAACCCCAGTGAAGATGAATAACATTTACGTCTGGGTCCCAAATGTTGCAGCATACTCAATTTTGGTTATTATGTTATTTATTTTGTCAATATTATTACTTAAAATTAAGAAATATCACTTTTTCAAAAAGTAAATCTTTAACTTCTTTTTGTAGAAGTTCACTATCAAAATACTTTTAAGCACAATCAAATAAGATACTATTCATTTCAAAAATTTATTGTAAAAATGTGGTAAAATTGCATGTTGGTTTTCTATCTTTGTGGTAACTTGGTGTTCAGATTCTCAATTATTTTTGAGTATGCAAAGGCTCAAGCGGATCAATGATTAGATTTTCAATCAAGGTTTGTGAATTCTCATATTAGGATCAAGGCATAATTTGGAAGCGAATGTCTAGATAACGGGCGCATTTGGAACACTTTGATTTAATAAAATTTCTTAATTTTAATTTTTATAATTTTTCTTCACAACTACTACTTCCCTTTGCTCTATTCATCATGACAGTGGAAGAATATTAGGCGTTCTTTTGAATCCACAAACAATTTATATGTGTTCTTTGTTCATTTTATCATTATCACAATATCACTGCATCATCTTTCAATTTTAAAGATTGCTGATCCTTAAAATTTTTGTCTACCTAATTTTTGAAAATTCAAGATTTCGTTGAAAAGATGATTGTGCTGTTATTTTTAGCCTAAGCAAAGAAGGAAATGTAAATCATCAATGAAAATGGTGCTACGAAAGTTGGATACAAAGTTGAAAGGTTGAATTACTTGAATAGCAAGACCTGAAAAGGTATAGATTAAGTACCAATTAATGTAAAGGTGATAAGTAGGAGACCAATAAAGCAATTTTTCCTAAAAACTTTCGTCGCTTCAGCAGGAAATAGGAGATACATTAGAAACCTTTTCTTAACGACTTGCTTGAATGTTTGGTTGAATTACAAAAATTGATTAAAATTTATGTCCCTATTTGACAACCATTATTTACAAAATAATAATAATTTGAACAGTGGTTTTTAATAGAATATATGGTTAAAAAATAGTGAAAAAATTTACTGAGGCATTCTTTTTTTTTTTTTTTTATCACTCATTTTATTGTCGTCACTCTGTTCAATTTTTTGTAAGGTTGGTATGTTTGATCTTTGGTTGAAAATCATCACTCAAATCCATTATCTTATCAACAATCTTAAGTCGATTTTTGTTTAAGTGATAACTTTATTTTTTAATTATATTCGGTTAAACTGACTTCTCCTGAGTTTAACTTCTGCTACTCTTTCTCGAATTTTGATTTTTGGTTTATCTTATATTTTGTGTAAATAGAAATGAATACGATTAACAATACGAATACCTCTTCAAATGATATTTCGAATATGGGAACTTCGGAAGGAGCTTTACCTAACTTGGTTCCTACCGCAGTGATTCTTCTACTTTCGATTGCCCCTCCCACCGTTCATACAAATTCCGTTCCACATGGAGATAAACTGGAGAAGTTTCGTGGGGTTGAGTTCAAGAGATGGCAACAAAAAATGTTGTTCTATCTCACAACCCTAAACTTCGCAAAATTCTTAAAGAAAGGTGATCCTGTCATGCAAGAAGGAGAAAATAATAGGGCATCATTGATAGCATTGAATGCTTAGAAACATTCAGACTTCTTATACAAAAACCATATACTGAATGGTTTGGACAAAACATTATACAATGTGTATAGTTCCATGAAATCTGCAAAGGAACTATAGGAATCCTTGGAGAAGAAATGCAAGGCGTCTGAACTACGAAGTTCATTGTGGGAAAATTCTTAGACTACAAAATAGTAGATTCAAAGGCAGTCATAAATCAAGTACAAGAATTTCAGGTTATTCTCCATGACATTCACATCGAGAATATGTCTCTAAGTGAATCATTTCAAGTAGCTACAATTATCGAGAAACTTCCACCCATGTAGAAGGACTTCAAGAACTATCTTAAAAGAGTGTCTGTTTCTGCTTTTCAGCAGAAATGAAGCCGTTGGCAGCAAAAATGTAGCCGTTGAGAGCCACAAAGGTGGAATAATTCTCTCACTGTAGCTTGTTTGAAAAAAAAAGGGTAAAAAAAGTGATTTTCTTTCCTCCTTGCAGCGCGGCCAGACTAGCCCTAAATATAAGAGGAATGAGATGAATATTGAAAAACTCATTGTTCGGTTGAGAATTGAAAAAGATAACCGAAATTTGGATAAGCGTGTTGGGAGTCATATACCACAAGTTAAGGGTAATGTAGTGGAATCAAATAACAAGAGTAAGAAAAGAAAGCACTCCGTCGAACTGTCCAAGAAGAATATAGAGAAGTTCAAGGGCAATTGCTATAATTGTGGAAAGGCTGAACATCACTCAGTTGATTGTCATAAACCTAAGAAGCAAGCCTAAGTGAATATCACCGAATCTGATGCAATATCTGATGGTATATAATATATAAATTTGTCGATCGTTATTTCAGAGTACAACAATGTTGGAAATCCCAACCGATGGTGGGTGGATAAGGGTGCTACACGTTATATTTATACCAACAAAGGCATGTTCTCATCCTACACTCCAACAGATGGTGAGAAGCTGTTCATGAAAAACTCTTCAAGTTCAAAAGTAGAAAGACAAGGCAAGATAATTTTGAAAATGACATCCGGCAAGGAACTTATCCTTAACAATGTTCTTCATGTGTCGGATATTTCCAAAAACTTAGTGTCGAGATCTTTGTTAAGTAAAAATGATTTTAAATTAGTCTTTATATATGATAAGTTTATACTTACTAAGAATAACTTGTAAGTAGGCAACGGTTATGTAGGATGGACTATTCAACATGAATATCCTTACAATTGTACCGAATAACTCAATGAATAAAATATCTTCTTCTACTTATATTCTTGAGTCATCTAATTTATGGTATCATAAATTATGACATGTAAACTTTAGTTCTATAAGCAAATTAATGGACTAAAGTTTAATACCAAGTATGCATTTTAATACCAATAGAAAATGCAAAACTTGTGTAGAGGCTTAGTTAGTCAAAGTGTCATTTCATTCTGATGAACGAAGCACAATACTTGTGGAATTCATTTACACCGATATATGTGATTTAAAGCATGTCCAAACAAAAGGTATTAAAAAGTATTTCATCGCGATCATAAATGATTGTACAAGATATTGTTATGTATACATGTTGAAAAGTAAAGATGAAACTTTGGAAGTGTTTAAGCACTATAAAATTGAAGTTGAAAATCAACTTGAAAAACGAATAAAGACGATTCGTAATTATCGAGGTGGAGAATATGTCGCACCTTTGAAGATTTTGTTCAGAATCTGGAATTCTTCATGAAATTACAGCATCATGCTCACCTCAATCTAACGGTGTTACTGCATGAAAAAACCGAACACTTGAGGAAATGATGAATACAATGTTGATTAATTCAGGCTTACCTCAAAATTTGTAGGGGGAAGCTATATTTTCGACAAATCATATATTTAATAAAATACCACACAAGAGTAAGGTTGAATCACCTTATGAATTATGGAAAAATTGAAAACCTTCCTACAAATATTTTAAAGTGTGAAGGTGTTTAACAAAAGTGCATATACCTAAACATAAACAAGTAAAGATTGAACATGAGACAATAGATTGTGTCTTTATCGGATATACAAACAATAGTCGTGCATATCGATTTTTGGTTCATAAATCTGAAATATTTAATGTACATGTAAGTACTATCATTGAATCAAGGAAATTTGCTTTCTTTGAAAATATATTTCCTTGTAAAGAGAAAGAAGTAAGTTCACACAAACAAACTTACTACTGCAAATGGAAACTATAAAAGAGATAGTAATCATCAAGTAGAAAAGAACCAGGCACAGTAAAATGCAAAGGATTCATAAAATATTTGGTCCAAATTTTCTAACATATCTACTAGAAAATTATCTAAGAACATAACTTAGCAATGTCCACTCTCAAATCTCCTTTTTGGAAAGAATCAGTTAATAATGAAATTGAATTCATTATGAATAACCTATACTTGGAAATTAGTTGAACTTCCTCCGGGAAACAAAGTTTTAGGCTGCAAGTGGATCTTCAAAAAAAATGAAGTCGAATGGATCAATAGACAATTATAAGGCTAGGCTAATAGTTAAAGGATATAAGCAAAAGGAATGACTAGAATTTTTTGATACATATTCACATGTTACAAGGATCACGTCTATACGTGTATTGATTACAATTATTGCATTGCATAATCTTGAAATATATCAAATTGATGTTAAGACTACATTTCTAAATGGTGAATTAGAAGAAAAAAATATACATGTAACAACCTAAAGGTTTTGCTGCTCCGAGAAATGAAAAGAAAGTGTGTAAGCTTGTAAAATAATTGTATGCATTAAAACAAGCACCGAAGTAATGACATGAAAATTTTGACAAAACTATATTGTCAAATGGTTTTAAAATTAATGAATGTGACAAATATGTTTACATCAAAACCACACCTAACGGATACGTGATCATATATCTATATGTTAATGATATG